AAAAGAAGTTAAAAACAAGTATATATTTTATAATAGTACCTTTTAGGAATAAATGGAGATCAGATAAAATTAGACACAGACAAGAGCAAGGGATTCTGGTGGGTGGTCTCATTAGAAGTGAACCAAGGATGTGGAAGGACCAGTGTAAGTTACTGTGAAGTTCCTAGTTTCCGTGGTGGGTGGTAAGTTTACAATAACATTCTTACCAAGTCACAAAAAGGATTTTGCATGGACTGATTTTCAAGAGTGTGCCATGGCCCGGCATGGTGGCTCATCCCTATAATCCCAGCACTTTGGGAGGCTAAGGTGGGCAGATCACAAGGTGAGGCGATCGAGATCTTGGCTAACATGGCGAAACCCCGTCTCTACTAAAAATAAAAAATAAAAAATTAGCTAGGCCTGTAGTCTTAGCTACTCGGGAGGCTGAAGCAGGAGAATCGCTTGAACCTGAAAGGTGGAGGTTGCAGTGAGCTGAGATCATGTCACTGCACTCCAGCCTGGGCGACAGAGCAAGGCTCTGTCTTAAAAAAAAAAAAAAAAAAGGAATGTACCATGAATTGAAGTTTATTAGGACCAACCCAGTTTTGGGCACCTGAGGTCCCCCAACAGTAGTGAATAATGGGATGTGTAGGGGGTGCAGAAGAGGAGAGGCTGGTCAATTTCATTTGTGCAAGAGTCAGAAAATGTTATACGGAGGGGACCTGGAGTGTCAAAGGTGAGCATCGGCCAGGAGAAAGTGGGGGTGGAAGGGTGGCATGAAAGGCAAAGAGCCTGAAAGTTACGCAAAGAGTTCTGAGAATATCAGTTCCTGGCTCTCAGCAGAGCGGGTGGAGGGGAGTTGGATTTTGTTCCCCTTCACTTTCTTTTTTCCTTTCTCTTCTCCCAGCCAGGCAGAGCAGGGAGGAGGTGAGAGGCAGAGGGCACTGGGAGAGGTGAGGGCAGGGGCCCTGGTGGGAATGCTGGATGCTGTGAGCTGTGACTCAGCTTCCTGGGAAAACTGAGTCAGCCCCCTCTGTGTTCGCCAGGCCTGGGGTCTGTGATCATGAGGGCTTGCGGGCCCATGTTTTCTCAGGAAGTCGGCAGCCTGGAAGAGAGACCGACTGGCCCTGAACCAGGAGGTGATGGTTCCAGAGACCACCAAGAACTTTGTGCCCCTGTTGGATGCAGTGTCTCGGGACTTTGTCAGTGTCCTGCACAGGCGCATCAAGAAGGCGGGCTCTGGAAATTTCTCAGGGGACATCAGTGATGACCTGTTCCGCTTTGCCTTTGAGTGTAAGGGGCTTGCACCTGGCTTGCAGTGGGCATGGGGGTGGGTGTTCACTCTCTTACCTTCAGGTTCAGCACAGACCTTGCAGAGGCATTGAGATTGGCTTCTGGGATGAGCTTCTGATCATATCCTCCATTGTCAGCTACCCAGAGGCAATTTAAGACCACCCTCAGCAACAGAGTGAGACCCCTCGCTCTGGGGTTCCCTCACCTGGCATTCTCTCTCATCTGGCATTCGTGCTGTAGGAGCAATGGTCCCCAACATACAGGTCACTATTGCCACCATCCTCCAAATCCAGAGCCTGGCTTGGCCCTTCGTTCTGCAGCTCTCCACCTCCTGGGACATAGATCTTTGAAGTCAGGTAGGGTAGAGGAGAGTTCAGTGGTTCATCTGAGGTGGGCATTGAAGAATCTGTAGGAGTTATCTAGATGGGGTAAGGAAGTCAGGCAGTAGAGGTAGAGGGAACAGTACATGTAAAGGCCCCATGGCTTGATGAAGATCGTGTGGTCATAGCAAGAAACTGGGGTACCCAAAGCTTTGTATGAAAACAGTATTAAAATTCCTTACCTGGTAGGTGGAGAGAACTTGAGGCTGTTGTAGCTTCTTCGGTCCAGCAAGACTAGGTCCGGGATGGTTAATTATCCAGGGACTTATGACCCTCAGCCTCCTTTCTGATCTGTTACAGGAAGTATTTAGCCAATTCAGCCAATTACAGATGAGAAATTTCTCCTGGTGGAAGTATGGTCAGAGCGGTTACATCCTGGGTTAGGTCCTCTCCTAGCTGTGCCAGAGATCTTGCTTCCCACCTTTCAGGTCTTCCACATGCTCTTCTGCAGAACCTATATGGTTTCCAGAAGCCCTTTAGGACTCAGGCCTCAATTTCTTTACTGAAGGAGGCTGAGGGTAGGGGCAAGAGATCCTTCGTGCTGAGGGAGGTGAGGGTGGAGGAGTCCCTGGGAGTTGTGGCTCTCAGATGGCCCTGCTGGAAGTGGCTTCTCAGCCTCTGCCTCTCCCTGCAGCCATCACTAATGTCATTTTTGGGGAGCGCCAGGGGATGCTGGAGGAGGTAGTGGACCCCGAGGCCCAGCGGTTCATCGACGCCATCTACCAGATGTTCCACACCAGCGCCCCCATGCTCAACCTCCCCCCAGACCTGTTCCGTCTGTTCAGGACCAAGATCTGGAAGGACCATGTGGCTGCATGGGACACGATTTTCAATAAAGGTGAGGGCTCCTCCAGCTGCGCTCTCCTCCTGGGAGCCCCAGGCCTCAGCCAGCCCCTTTGTCCCAAGCTATGTCAATGAGCGCTCAATGAGCGCTTGTCAATGAGCAGGAAACACACACTGTGGTGGGCAGGCGTGGGTGTCAGGAAGGCCCTGGGACCCCTGAAATGGCAGGCAGAAGGCTGGCTGGCTGTTGGGGATTGTTAGATTTTTCTGGAAAAAGAGGATCAAAGACAGCTGTGATCTTCAAAGGAGCTCATGCTCCACAGAGGGTGAAGGGCCAGTGTCTGAGCCATGGCTGTGCTGGCTGACAGGGACTTGGGGAAGGGTGGGTGGGGAAGGCTGGTGAGGATATGGCAGAGTCAGATCCCACCTCTGCCCTTTATACCCACGTCACCTTGGGCAAGTGACTATCTCTCTGTGCCTCTGTTATTTGTAAAATGGGGATGATATCACATACCCCAAGAATTCAATGACAAAGCAGATATGAAGGGCTTAGTACAGAGTAAGCGCTCAGTAAAACGGCAGCCTAAGAAGCATAGAGCTCCAGAATCCCCCGGCCCTTGGTGCCACCTCTCACCACAGACTGCCCTCCTTCCTGCCCACCTGCGGGGAACCTCACTCTTTTTTCTTTCCTCCTGACCCACAGCTGAGGCATACACCCAGAACTTCACCTGGGAATTGAGACAGAAAGGAAATGTTGACCACAATTACCGTGGCATCCTCTACAGACTCCTGGGACACAGCAGGCTGCCCTTTGAGGACATCAAGGCCAACGTCACGGAGATGCTGGCAGGAGGTGTGGATACGGTGAGGTGGCTGTAGGGACAGCACCTTGTTCCCCCCTGTGCCCACGTGCCCCTCTTTGTCTAAAATCCTGTTGTCAAGGGGGCCCTACCCATGTAGGATATGTCTCTCTCCCCACCGCTATTTCTTAAGCGCTAATCTCTTAGGAAGGTTAGATCAAAGTCAGGTCACCCTGGGCATGATTTGAAGCTGATCAGCCATTTTTCTTTGCCTGTGAGAGAGGAGTGGCCAGGCATGATGGCAAGGCCCAGGTTCCAAGTGGAATCTCTACAGGAGGAGATCCCCTCTGGATGCTAGCTCCGTCAGAGCTCTGCTGATGGAGGACAACGCCCCCAGCTCCTGGGGGAGAACATGCTCACTCAAATCCGGGGAAGCAGGCAGGAGCCTGGAAACACTGGGAGGCCAGGGGCATTTGCTGTGGGCTCTGCCATCCAGGGTCTTTTTGTTGTCCTCCCTCCTCCCCCTTCTAGCCCTCAGTACCCTATGCTGCCCCCAAGGCCCAGAGACATCCCTTGTGCTCCCTCCATAGCAGCATGGCACCCCAGAAACTTGTTTTTCTGGATGTTAAGAATGATTAGTCCTGTGTGATATCCCATGTTCCAATTTTTAAATTTTTTATTATACTTTAAGTTCTGGGGTACATGTGCAGATCGTGAAGGATTGTTACATAGGTATACACATGCCATGGTGGTTTGCTGTGTCCATCCCCCTGTCATCTACATTAGGTATTTCTCCTAATGCTATCCCTCCCCAATCCTCCCATCTCCTGCTATCCCTCCCCTAGACCCCCACCCGCATCCCCACAGGCCTCGATGTGTGATGTTCCCCTCACCTCCCTGTGTCCGTGTGTTCCCGTTGTTCAACACCCACTTATGAAATGTTTAAAACTTCCCCATGCTAATGTGGTAGTGGAGTTGTTTAGTATTTACTGACTAGTTAAGGCTTAGGCACTGGGCTGTAAAAGGGAGGAATACAATAGACCTCAAATGTCCTCACATGGCTCAGAGGGGAGGGGTTTACTGGTTTGCTACCTGCTGTAACCAAATCCCACAGACTGGGGCTTAAACAACAGACATTTATATTCTTGCAGTTCTGGAGGCTGGATGTCCAAGATGGAGGTGTTGGCAGGGTTGGTGCGTTCTAAGGCGTCTCTCCTTGGCTTGTAGATGGCCGTCTTCTCCCTCTCTCTCGCATGGGCTTCCCTCTGTGTCTGTGTCAGAATCATCTCAACTAGTGAAGACGCTAGTCAGGATTGGATTAGGATCCTCCTCAAGGACTTCATTTTACTTTAAAATCTTTAAAGGTTCTGTCTCCAAATGCAGTCACATTCAGAGGTTCTGAGGTTAGGACTTCAACAGATGAATTTTGGGAGGGGCTATAGAGTTCAGCTTGTGATAGGGAGACAGCGATGCCAATGGAGGGATGGCACACTCCAATGACGGAGGCAAGCGCCCTCCACTGGCCAAGCCGGGATGTGGAGACTGACTCACGTAACTGTGAAGGACACAAAAGGCTCCACAGAGGGCCTAAAATTTTTGCAGGCAGCTGCCAGGAGGAGAGAGGAGAAATAGCGTTTCAGGCACAGGGAGAAGCACATGTCAAGCCCCCTGGGTGAATCACTTTCATCCCAGTATTGGACCTGTGTAACACTCTGATTAAGGGGTTTTGGTCCCTGGGACAGGCTGCAGATGGAGCCTCTGAGCATACCTTAAACATAGTTCATTGTCTATTATGTAGAAGAGATCTTCAAAAATCACTCACCTGCACCAAAGAAATGATTACTGTGAGGTAACATTTATTAAGCATGTGCTGTACGGCAGGCAGGGTTCTAAGCTGTTTACATATGTTACCTGATTTAGTACTCACAAACAACCCTCTAAGGTATGTTACCTTCATCTCCCTTTTTCAGATGAGGAAGCTGGAGCACAGAGAGGTTAAATAACTTGGCCAAGGTCACACAGCTAGTAACATAGCTTATCAAATCCCAAGTACCTCTCTACGGCAGGCCTTGGCAGTACTGAGATGAAAACACACATATGGCTGGAGTCTGGCAGAGGGAGCACATCCTTGCTTCTTAGGCGGGGAAGGGAATTCCAGGAAGAGGACCTAGCATGGGGAAGACTTCAGGGCTTTGCGGGCTGTGTGCCACTCCATGTAGCTGGAGCATTAAGTGCGTGTTGGAGAGAAGTGGGGAGTGGGGGATGGGGGAGCAGCAGGCAGGTTTTGAGGGGTCCTGCGGCTCAGGCCTGATCCTCTGCATTTCATCTGGAGGCTCTGGGGAGCCAGGCAAGGATTTTAAACTGAGAAGGAGCTGTGTGACAGCTTGTCATTGTCGCCCCTGCCAGGAGGAGAGAGGAAGATGTCTAAGTCCCTTGGACAAAATATGACCCTTGGTAAAATAATGTGTGAGCAACCCATGTCCTAGTCCCCAGGAGGGAGGGCTGCTCCAGGCTAGGGTCCCAAATGGTCCTGGTTTGTCATCATTGAGGAATTTGATGAGGGTCACTCAGATCTCTGGCAAAGGGCTAGTGGTCACAACCTCTGGCTTATATTGAGATTAGCTGATTAATTTCAACACACACCACACACCAATTGCAACACTGATAAGAAACATCTGGCTGGTCTGGTTTCAGCATCGTTGAGCCTTACTTGAAGCCGTGCTGCTATAGGCGAGTGCTAGGGCTTTGGGAAGTTCTATTGGAGAGAGGGGTGGCTGTTTAACAAGGCATTTCAAAAGGAATGACATTCATTCTGAAGTGCAATCATGACAGAAGGATTTGGCCTCTAAGGGCCTCTGGAATTCTTTGGAAGAAGGCGTTGGCTGTGTAGCTGACACTCTACTGGCTGGGGAGATGGGAGGGTTTTTGGCAACATGAGGGATGAGGGCAGGGATAAGCGCTGCCCCAAACATTCCTGCCTGGTCAGCAAGAAAGGCTTTTTGGACATTTCCCATTTAAACAATGGAATGTGTTTTGCTTTTGCAGAGGATGGTCTTGGAGACTGGGATGGGGTGGGTGAAGAGAGGTTCTTGGAAATGAAAATTTAGCATGAGGTCAAGGACCTCAAGGAGCCCTGGAGTGACAGGTCCTCCGGTCTTCTGTATGCCCTACTCCCCACCAGACATCCATGACCCTGCAGTGGCACTTGTACGAGATGGCACGCAACCTGAAAGTGCAGGATATGCTGCGGGCGGAGGTTTTGGCCGCCCGGCGCCAGGCCCAGGGAGACACAGCCACAATGCTGCAGCTGGTGCCACTCCTGAAAGCCAGCATCAAGGAGACTCTGAGGCAAGCCCACAACCACCCATGCCACCCCCAACTGCAGTCCCTGGGCAGGGCCAGGGAAGTGACCGGGTCAAGGGTTAGGAGGATCAGCTGGTGGAGGAGGTTGGAAGCAGGAAGGGAAAAGTCTGGAGGAGAAAGGAAATAAAGCCAGGGCCCTACTCTGGCATGAGTGCCATGCAGGGTGTGGGACTCGGGGGCTGCGACCAGCCTTCAGGGCCATCAGCTTCTGAGTGCCCTCCTCCTGCAGACTCCACCCCATCTCCGTGACCCTGCAGAGGTATCTTGTAAATGATCTGGTTCTTCGAGATTACATGATTCCTGCCAAGGTAGGCGCAGTCAGTGGGCTGCAGGCTCTGCCAGTCAGAGAGGGCTGGAGCAGGCTGCAATTGCAGACAGAGGGTCGCACTGGGGCCCTGCTGGGGCAGCAGTCTCAGTCTGAGTGAAGGGCAGAGGTGGTGCGCCTGGTGGGCAGTGACCTCTAGGATGTTACTGGAAACCAGGGTTAAGAGGAAGACTTCACGGTTTGCCTGGGTCTGAGGAAAGGGTGGAACGATCACCCTAGCCTTGTGTCTTCCGCTGTCACCATTTGGTGGGTAAGGATCACAGAGGGGCAGGGCCTTGTTCAAGGTTGCACAGTGTGCAGAATGTCCTGCCCTGGAGAGCTGGGCAGCCATTCTGGGGAGTGGGAGTGGTGGTGAGAGGGCAGGGGCTGGGGAAGGGGGTGTGGTGCTCAGGACTGCAGGGAGGCAGGGCTTACTCGGGCCTCTGATCACCTTGCCCCAGACGCTGGTGCAGGTGTCCCTTTATGCTCTGGGCCGAGAGCCCACCTTCTTCTTCGACCCGGAAAATTTTGACCCAACCCGATGGCTGAGCAAAGACAAGAACATCACTCACTTCCGGAACTTGGGCTTTGGCTGGGGTGTGCGGCAGTGTCTGGGACGGCGGATCGCTGAGCTGGAGATGACCATCTTCCTCATCAATGTGAGTCAGGCCGGGGACATCTGGGCACCCTGGGCTGGCCCTTGCCCCAATGACGGCACCAACCTTCCCCCTCCCATCTCTGTCTAGAGCCAAGGAAGTCAGGGCTGGGGCACGTCTACCTCCAGTTACTTGCTCCGACTCTCTCCCACAATTCCCTACTGCCCCTCTTTCAGGTTCAACCACTTAGCACCCACTGTTACCCCTGGCCGTCCATTCCCCATGGTGGTGATGGGATGGGACAGGGCTGAAGTGTGTAGAGGAGTTAAAGTCTAAGCTTGAATTGAGGGAACGGAGCACTTGGGTGCATTATCAGGCACTGTGCAGGGTTACACGAGGAGCTGGTGGTTAACTCCTGGAGCTCCTCAAATCGCACTTCACAGGCACTGCCTATGGGTGAATGGGCCTGCCCAGGGAGACAGATCCTTCTCTGCCCTCCCCTAAACCTACCATCGGCCTTTCTCAGATGCTGGAGAACTTCAGAGTTGAAATCCAACATCTCAGCGATGTAGGCACCACATTCAACCTCATCCTGATGCCTGAAAAGCCCATCTTCTTCACCTTCTGGCCCTTTAACCAGGAAGCAACCCAGGAGTGATCAGAAAGGATGGCCTGCAGCCATGTGGGAGGAAACCCCAGGGGGTGGGGCCCACAGGGTCTCTGCATCTTCAGTCCTCTGTCCCCAGCCCTGCTGAGCAGGTAGTGTGGGATCTCAGTGGTCACCTTCCTCAGCCCAGCTGGGCCGCTCCTCGTCACCAACCCCATGGAGACAATAAACAGCTGAACCATGTAGTGTCTTTCTTTCCATGAGACTCATTCGGTGCTCATCACTCCCATGGAGGTGCTTCCTGGGTTAAAGCAGGATCTGGGGCATGCTCGGGGGACCCAGGCAGCCACACTTGAAGCCACCTCTGCTGGTACCCACTTACCCGTGGCAGCTCAGGAGCCAGCAGGATCAACTCCAGGTTCCCCGGGGCAAGGGGTGAGGCAGAGTGAGGGGGAGTAGGGGAGGGACTGCCACTGTGCCAGGAGCTGCAGAAGCATCAGGCAGAGGGACGAAGGAGAACTGGGGAGTTCTGTGGCGAGAACAGGGTGGCCCCGAGAGGTGTGGCCCAGTCTTGCCTTTCTGGGTAGACCTGATCCACAGGGGTAAGGCTGGCACAGGGCTCTGGTTGGGTGAACCCTGGGTGGGAGTTCCCTGTGGGGCATGAGGACTTCCTGCCAAGGCCCAGTCAGAGTCCTGGGCATGGCTATGGCCAAGACCTGTGGGCGAGACCCCCTGCTACTGAAGGGCTGGCGGGAGGTGACTGACCGGGGACAAGAGGCCAGCCTGCTTCCTCTACCCTTCCTGGGCCTCCTCTGGGCTTGCTCCAGGCCTCATTTCTTGCTCTGGGGGCTTGTACCCCTTGTCCAGGGGCAGGAGGCGAGAAGACTACTCTGTAGCAGAGCCGTTGGTTATTTGGACTGAATGACCCTGGTTTGGATTTCCGCCCCTTAATCACCTGGGGTCCCACAGCTTCTGACCTGACTCCTCTCAGCCCTCAGGTATCCAGGTCCAAGTCCTGCAGGCAGGTGGGGGAGCTCGTCCACTGAGGCCAGTGGTCCGGCTGGCCTGGCCTCTCCTGCCGGGAGCTGCAGGGTCTGGGTCCACCCTTGGAGCCCTTCTGCTTTCCCCCTACACAATCCTCTTCCCTGTTGTCTTTCTCTCTCCTTCCTGTGCCCATTTTCTTCTACGGTTCTGAGTCAGCTTTGACTCAGAAATGTTACAGCCAAAGAGGTCAAGCTCTGCATGGAACAGATGGGGAAACTGAAGCCCAGAGAGGTTGCTTGGGTTCCTTGAGGTCACACAGTATGCTTGCTCCCAGAACCCAGGCCTCCTAACTCCCAGTGGGTACCTCCTTCCCCTGGCCCCATCTGCTCTCCTGCCCTGGCTACATTTGGACACATCATTGCCAGCTCAGCCTAGTGGCTTAACGGGGTATTTCACAACGATATCAAGTCCTCATTCCCTTTCCAAGACGAACCAAACCCGAAAGAAGGAATATCAGACACGATAGATGTTTTGGAGCAGATGAAAAGGACAAGCCTCCCTCATATCTTCCAACAGAGCTGGTCTCTGGTGGCCTCGCTTCTTCTGGGGGTCTGGAAGAGGCCTGTCTCCCTGGCACTGCTTTGGAAGTCCTCTTCTTTCCACCCTCCTGGGTCCACTGTGGCCTTTGGCTTTCCAAAGATGCTGGCTCCGGGGGCAGGCGGGAGGCTGTAAGGCTGCAGCACAAGGCTCAGGCCCAGGCCCAGAGTGGGGGCCTAGGGACAGGAAGCAGGGGCCCCCAGGCTGCCCTGCTCCAGGAAAGACACAAATGCTCACAGAGCTACAGCGTTTAATCTAGTCATTTTTACGGGGCGGGGATGAGACTCCCCAGCACACAGGGAAGGAGGGCTGCTCTGGGGTTCAGGTCTGCTGAGAGTTAGTGGTCTCCTTGTGGGGGTTCGAGTGCCTGTTAAGCTTAGTGTCTGAGCTGGGCAGCAGGGGCTCCAGCTTTGAGGGCTGCTTGAGGTCCTTGAAGTGGGTGGGCGCATTCTGTGGTGTGCAAAGTAGGGTGCATGAGTATCCCCCGTTCCCAGGGGGTGACCTGCTCAAGGGCATATTGCCTGACAAACCAGGCCTCAGAGGATCCAGAGCCCAGTGGGTCATGCCTGCAGTTTTCTAAACCCATTTCGCCATGTTGACACCTGTTTTCTCCAGGATCCCCCAGGGCTCAGGTGAGTGTGTAAAGGTAGCCTTTGCTCCTTGCCTGATTCCTCATCCTTTCCCAGGAGCTGCTGCTGAGCTCTGGCCATGGGCAAAGCACAGCCATCTCAAGAGCAGGAGAAATCAGGGTCTTTGCTTTGCGGGGCTGGGCAGCCCTGGGGTTGAACTTGAGGGGCCGTTGTGAGCAGGCCTGTCTGTTCTTGGGAAGTCGGCAAAGTGGAGCCTACATCGTGGCCACCTAAGAAGGGTGTGCTAATTTCTGAGGCTCTGTGTAGTCAGGGAGGTAGGGCCGCAAGCCGCTCTGCCTATGTGTGCAGCCAGTTCTAAAGCACTCCCAGAGCCAGGGCATCCCGGAGATGCCAGCGTGGCCCCTCACCCACCGTCATCTCCTCGAGTTTCACAGCACTCCATGGGGGAAGGGGTGGTCTTGGCAGGGGTTTTCTGTTCTACTCAGACAGGTGTGGGACTTGAGACCAAGCCTTCGGTTGGTAACAGAGCAGGAACAGGAGCCTAGGACTCCTGACTCCCAATCCTGGAGTTGGCCCCGCAGTGGTTTTCTCAGGGCCCAGTGACTTTGGGGGTGGGGTGGCTTCCTTCTCCACCACTTGAACCCCCAGGAACTCCTCCAGGGGGGTCACTCACAGGCTGTCCTGTGAGGATGGAGTTCGAGGGATGCCTGAAACCGTTTTCTTGTTCCTGCAGCCGTGTGGCTAGATCCTGCTTCTCTCGTCCCCAGCGTCGAGCTGAGTCCTCTAACTGCAGGCATAGATAGGAATAATTGGAGGATCATGGGCAGCAGGGCTAATCCCTGATGGCCGGGACAACCAGGGCCTAAGCCTGCTGTCCAGGCAGAATGCAAAGCTCTGGGTCATGTGGGCTTGACACCTTCCCAAGAGACCTCGGGGTGGCAGGGATGAGGGTGAGGGGGCCAGATAGTCAGGCAGCCTGACAAGACACAGATGGACATTTCAACAATATATTGAGCCCTGATCCTGAGTGCACACTGATCCCTGATTCTGGTCATAGAGAGTCTGACCCTGGTCACACACTGAGCCCTAACCCTAGTCACACACTAACCCTGACCCTGGTCACACACTGAGCCCTGACCCTGGTCACACACTAACCCTGACCCTGGTCACACACTGAGCCCTGACCCTGGTCACACACTAACCCTGACCCTGGTCTCACACTGAGCCCTGACCCTGGTCACACACTGAGCCCTGATCCTGGACACACACTGAGCCCTGATCCTGGACACACACTGAGCCCTGATCCTGGACACACACTAAACCTGACCCTGGTCACACACTGAGCCCTGACCCTGCTCACACACTAAACCTGACCCTGATCACACACTGAGCCCTGACCCTGGACACACACACACTGAACCCTGACTCTGGTCACACACTGAGCCCTGATCCTGGTCACACACTGAGCCCTGATCCTGGTCACACACTAAGCCCTGACCCTGGACACACACTGAACCCTGATCCTGGACACACACTGAGCCCTGACCCTGGACACAGACTGAACCCTCCCTGGCTTTGGTCACACACTGAACCCTGACCCCAGTTGTATCTGAGCCCTGACCCTGGTTGTACCCTGAACCCTGATCTCAGTTGCACACTGAACCCTGACCCCGTTGCACACTGAGCCCTGACCCTGGTCACACACTAAGCCTTGATCCTGGTCATAGACTGAGCTTACTGAGCCCTGGTCATAGGCTGTGTGGTGAGCCTGGTCCAGCCTCATCAACCCCTGCATCTCCCCCACCTGGCTTTCCAGGGACAGGATCCGACTCTGAGCTCGTTCCAGCTTGGCCAGGAGGTTGAACCTGTCTGAAGTCTCAGAGAGGAGATCCTGTGGGCAAAGCGGAAACTCAAGTTTGGCCCTAGCTGAGGGCTGTGGCCGGTGTGAGGTCGGGAAACTGCAAGGTATTGGGGGAGAAACCAGTCAGTTCTGAGTTCAGACTGAGCTCCCGAGGCGGGCCTTAGACCTGGGCCCAACCCTCTTCTGGAAGTTCAGAGCAGGGGTCTGGCATGTGCTTTTTTCACAGCTGTTTCCTGCACAGACTTTGGAAATATGAAGTTTTGACACAACAATATTTTAATGTAAAACGCATTTGGGAGCCTCTGGGTGAGGTGAGGAAGCTGTGAAGCAGCTGACCTCATCCCTCACACTTTACCTGGATGTCCATATGGCATGTGGGCTTTCAAACAGAACTCACCTCCAGCGAGTCCTGGGATGGAGAGAAAATTCTCCTGTGCCCCTGCCCTGTTCGATCTTCTGTGATTCCAAATGTTCTGCCTTTGGGTTTATGTAAAGTAGGGGGCACCTGAAGCAACCTCAGAGGTGGAGCAGGGCCTGGGTGTTTCTGGGCCCTGGGCCACCCACCTGTGCAGGCAGCGTCTGTGTGCACTTGGAGTGGCCTAGGCCATGCGTCTCTTGCAGCCTCTCTGCCAAGTCTCCTCCTGCTCCCAACTCCCTGGGGTCCACCTGGGATGGAAAAGGGCTCTCCAAGGCTGCACCAAGATCAGGGAATTTCTGCTCCAGAAGGGAGTTTTAAGAGGCCTGTGTAGGATCCAGGTGGAGGCCAGCCAGGTGGCAAAGGGGTCAAAGTTTGGGGGCCAAGGGTCAACAATCGGCTTGCTTTCTCCTGGGACGCTAGATGAGGATAGAAGGGAAGAGTTCGGGTATACACATTTCTCAGGAGAAAAAGAGCAAGGCCTGAGAGCTGATAGGAGTCGCTAGGCAGACTGGAGACCCTAGGAGGCCTAGCTCCTGGTCTTGATCTTCAACTTGGGTTGTACTGTGGGTGATTGCTGGGCACCCGGTGACCAGCACAGGCAGGCCCAGGCCAAGGGCTTCTTACCGGCAGGTCCTGCTGCTGCAAAATGATGGGGGCTGGCTGGTGGCGGTTCTTATCCAGCTCTGCCCGCAGCTTCGCATTTTCTGCCAGCAGCACGGAGTAAAGTTCAAGCGGCAGGTTCTCTCTCGTAGAACCGAGGGGCAGGCCAGAGGCTGAGAGCCCAGGGAAGCCTAGAGATACAGCCACCGATGTTGGGGAGATGGGCTCTCCTGCCTCCCACATCCCTGTGCTGATCTGCCCCAGCATTTTACTTCACTCTGCCACTCCTCCCCTCTGCTCCCAAGCCTTCAATGGCTCCCTACTGCCAGCTGGATCAGGTACACACAGGCTTTAGACTCTGACCCCAACGTTCTTGTTAACTCCTCATTTGTCTTGGATGTATTTCAGCTCCTCACTTCTCTCTCTTCCTCCCTTCTCTGTTCCTGGCATTCTTCTCACTCCCTGGGCCTTTGATCTGGCTGTTTCCCTCCCTAGGTTGCCTCCTCAGTTTCATCCAGACTCCTGGATGACCTCAGGCTTCCCGAAAGGCCAGCCCAACTTTCATTGCTTTCTAAAGGTCCCTAGAAACACCCTCCTGCCCCTGAAACCCTCAGCAGTGAAGGCTACACACAGGGCTGGGCACACAGGGGCTCTGGTGAGGTTGCAGAGGCAGGCTCAGGGAAGTCCCTTGCTTTGGGCTGGCCTGATAGGTGTCACCTGGTCCTTTCTGCTTATCCGAGCCTGATTGGCAGTTTTAGGTGGCTTTTGGTTAATATCAATGGGGAAGAAAACCCCCAAATCATTTATTTATTTGTTTATTTTGAGACAGTCTCCCTCTGTTACCCAGGCTGGACTGCAGTGGTGCAATCTTGGCTCACTGCAACCTCTGCCTCCCAGGCTCAAGCGATTCTCATGCCTCAGCCTCTCAAGTAGCTGAGACTACAGACTCATACCATGGCCAGCTAATTTTTGCATTTTTAGTAGAGATGGGGATTCACCATGTTGGTCAGGCTGATCTCGAACTGCTGACCTCAAGTGATCCGACCACCTCGGCCTCCCAAAGTGCTGGGATTATAAGCATGAACTACCACTCCTGGCCCCAAATCATTGATTTAATCTAAGTATTTTTGCTTGTTTGCTTTGCAGAGGCAGAATCTTTGGAGACATGGGGAGATGAAATAATTCGACGGATTCTGGGGTTAGGAGCTGGGAGGCGTTGCCCCAGGTGGCCCTTCTGGGGAAGTCCCTCTCTGCTGTGCTAGTCTGCAGGGCCCTCTCTGGAGGTCCAACCTCCATCTAGCCTGGCTCACACTGAATCCCAACTGTGTTCTGAGGCGCTTCTAGGGAAGGAAGGAGCTCAGGGGATCTCTGGATGAGGCTCCTGAAAGAGGAGGGGAGCAGTGCAATCCTGGGTCTCCCAGGTCCACAGATGTAACTGAGTACAGGGACCCTTTTTGCAGATTCTCCTGAAGCTGAAAGGCTTCAGGAAAGCAAAGCCTCCAGGGGTGGGGCAGAAGCCGGGGAGCTGATCACATCAGGGTATGGACCCACCTGTGTCAGGCTTTCCTGGCCGCCTGTTTGGAGGTGGGGGCTTGCTCCTGTCCCGAAGCCTGTCTTCCAGCACCTGCTCCATCTTCTCGATCACCTGAAGGGCAGAGCAGAGGCTGGGCTGGCCCAGGGGCTCCCTACCCTGCTGACATCGGTGGGCCTCAGGGATAGCCCCTCTGGCACTTGCCTTCTCCTGGTGCCGCACCGTCTCCTCCAGCGCCTTCATCTTCTGTAGCTTGCCCTGGTACTGCTTCAGCAGTGCGGCCTGTGGCTGCTGAGCCTGATACAGGTGGAGCAGCTCCTTCTCTTGATCATTCTTCTGTGAGATGGGGGAGGAGGGAAGGGGAGAGAATGGGTGCCTGGGAGCCCACCTTGGCCCCTCTGCTAAGTCCTCCACTGGGCTGGTCCCCCTCTCTTCTGTGCCTCCATTCCCTGTGTGCCTGTTTTCCCTTCTCCTCCCAGACTCTTCTCATCCCGATGCCCCCACCATAGCTCCCTCCCCTCTGCCCCCCACAAGCCCCGGCTCACTCGAATCAGCTCATTCTGCAAATGCTGCACCCTGTCCCTCAGTTTCTTCACATCCAGCTCACTCAGCAGCAGTTTCTGCTTCACGGACACTGTTGGGTGAGTAGGTGAGCCAGCTCAGGGAGGAAGGAGCCTCTCTCAGCTCGAATCCGCCTGGTCAGTAGTGGGAAGGCACATAGTCCTCGGGCCCAGGGCTTGGGACAGGACTGGATTCTCCATTTGCCATCCCTGAGAGGACCCAGCTAGGCAGGGGCTGTGTGAGTGTCTGTGGGCATGGGGTTCCTATTCACCAGAGTCCAGTAGCATGTGTGTCTGGGAAAAGCTCCCCACCTCCCTGTTGCACTACCTGGAGTCTGCGCCCAGGCAGATGCCCTGGTGCCCATGGTGGCCTGCACACCCTCACCTGTGTGCCAGGCCTCACTGGCTTTTCCCTGCCCATCTTCCTCCTCCTGCCGGGCCAGGTGGCTCCTCAGTATTCGGTTCTCTCTTTCCAGGATGCTGGCCTGTCTCCGCAGTGACAGGATGTCCTCTGCCATCTTCTGCATGGCCCGCCGGTAGTAGTTCGTATCCTGTGGATCCCAGAGCCCAGAGCTGAGCCCACTGCCCCATAGCAACCCTGGTCCCATGTCCACACCCACACTTGAAAGTCAGCAGGTCTCCACCAAGGCCAGTGAACAGGAGGAGCCCCACACCATGGCCCTAAGTCTTAGCAACTCCCTGGAGGGGTGGTTATCACTTGATCCTCACCCATCCTGGCCATGTGAGGGCAGCCACATTAATGTTCTCTCTGGGGGGGGGCATATCATGTCCCGTGATACCAACACAGGGGGAAACCCCAGGTGTGGACACAGGGGAGGAGGCCTGTGGGCAATGGAGACTTGAGAAGATCCAGGGCCAGGTTTGCCAGATCCGGCTCAATCATAGCCGTTTCTTCACCTTTTCCCCCCTCCCTCCTCACCTTCTTATTTATTTATTTATTGAGATTCTTGCTCTGTCACCCAGGGTGGAGTGCAGTGGCACAGTCTCGGCTCACTGCAACCTCCTCTGTCCCCTGTTCAAGCAATTCTCCTGCCTCAGCCTCCTGAGTAGCTGTGATTACAGGCACTTGCCATCACATCCAGCTAATTTTTTGTATTTTTAGTAGAAATAGGGTTTCATCATGTTGGCTAGGCTGGTCTCGAACTCCTGGCCTCATGATCCACCATCCTCAGTGGATCCCAGCCTCCCAAAGTGCTGGGATTACAAGCGTGAGCCACCGTGCCCAGCCCTCCATCCCCACCCTTCTAATTCCTCTCATTTCTCATGTCACTGATAAGCCAGGGAAAAACCTCTCAGAAATCCCACTGATGCCACTTGGAAGGCGACTGGGTGCCAGCTCCCCAACCAGCCCAGTAGTCAGAAGATGACCCAAGGTCGCCCCAGAAGACCCAGGCTAGAACTCAGGGTGGAGGCTGGGATCCAGCTCCAGGATGTGGGGTATCAGGTGGGGACAGGGGGACTGGAGTCAGCCATGAGGTCAGGAATAGCAGCAGTCCTGAGGTCTGATGCTGACTGAGCATTCGCTGTATTCCAGGCTTTCTTCTAAGCATTTTATGTGCCCTCCCTCAGTCAGTCCTCTCATCAGCCCTTCGAGGATAGACACTATTATCCCCGTTCTACCAATGCGGAAACCAGGGCGCAGAGAGGGCTTGAGTCACTTGCTCAGTTACAAAAGTGATGAGTGATAGAGCCAGGGTGTGAAATCCAGGCCTGCAGGGGCTCGAGCCTGTGTTCTGAAGAGCTGTGCCATCCTGCCATGAGAACTCCAGACGTGGACGCTTCACAATATGTTGAGAAGTGATAAAAGCAGGCTACAAACAAGAATTATCAGTGCAATCCCCAAATGAGAGAAAAATTCATGCCTGCCTGTGTATAAATATATAGGAAAATTAATAGGCTATATTTATATGCATTTGTGTGATAATCAGAAATTCCCTACTGTTATTTATGAAAGGTTTCATAAAGGGAGTTTCTTTCTTGCTTTTTTTTGTTTTTGTTTTTGTTTTTTTTTGAGACAGAGTCTTGCTCTGTCACACAGGCTGGAGTGTAGCTGCGCGATCTCAGTTCACCACAGCCTTCGCCTCCCGGATTCAAGCAATTCTCTGCCTCAGCCTACTGAGTAGCTGGGATTGCAGGCACCTGCAATCATGCCTGGCTAATTTTTGTATTTTTAGTAGAGATGGGGTTTCACCAAGTTGGCCAGGCTGGTCTCGAACTCCTGACCTCAGGTGATCCCCCTGCCTTGGCCTCCCAAAGTGCTGGGATTATGGGCTTGAGTCACTGCGCCCAGCCAAAGGCAGTTTCTTAAATCTGAACCACACAAAATAGAAAAGGAGGTCCCAAATGTGAAGCCAGAAGGGTCTGGATGGAGGAGCAGCCGGAGGGAGCTGGGATGGGGGAGGAAATGTGCATGGGGAAGTGAGTTTGCTCAGGAGTTTGCTAAGCCCTGGGGGCTTGTGGACTTCCTGAAGCTGTGGGAGGCTGTGTACAAATGGGTGGGTGCTCAGGCCTCCAGGAAGCAGAGCTCTGCCTCCAGCTCCCACCTGGGCCTCATGCTGACTGCAGAGATGGCCCGCCTTCTCAGCCACTGCCTCCCACCTGCTGCATGGCAGGTTGTGGTTTCTGGAGCAGGGGTCCCCTGGCAGCAGGGGCCCACCAGACACCACTTGTCACCTGCCCCTGTCCAGCCTCCTGGCTAGGCTCCTTCTAATTGCACCAGTGCCAGGTCCCTCTCCCCAGCACCTGCCCCTGTAGAATTCCAGGTCTTGGCTCCTCCAGATCCGCCCATCTGGTGTCCTCAGACAGCATTGTTAACGGAGAGACTCTGTCTAGAGACCACACACACACACACACACACACACACAGCTTTGCAGTCAGCCACAGATCAGCAGGCCAGCTTGGCCACTCACATGCAGTGTGAGCTCAGCCAGGCCCCTTCACCTTTCTGAGCCTGAGTCCTCGTACAGAGATGCCTGGCATTGCTGTGAGGCTGTTGGTGCATGAAGCCCCTGGCCCAGGCAGGTATGATTTGGAGGTTGCTGTTCTCCTCCGCACGCACTTCTATCCTGCTTTAATCAACAGGTCAGACCCGTTCCTCTTCCTCCTTGCTGCCCCGTGAGCTCCCAGGCGCCTCCTTTGCTGTGCTCTAAATCTTCAATTTATGGCAGCCCGTGACTGATGGGGGACCAACCAGAGGAAGCACATGATATTTTCGCAAAGGAAATTTGGCCCCTTCTTTCTTTGTCCAGCCTGGTTCGAGCTCTTAGCACGTCTTCCCTGGACAACTATAACAGCATCCAAATGGGTTTCTCGGTTCCAGGGTTAACTCCTAGAGAAACGCCACACACACATCCAGGAAAACACGTGCAGGGATGCTCGCTTCAGCACAGCTGGTGGTCTTCTACAAGGATGTGCTCAGTCTCTGGGCCACAGGCTGTGATCACAAAGGATGACCTAGATTTAATTGTACTGACACACAGAGATGGTCATGCTCTATTGTGAAAGGAACGTGCACGTGGCAGATGAATAGGATCCTGTCTGTAACTGGGCTGTGTGCGTGCTCATGGAGGGAGTCCTGGGGGAAGGGGCTGCCAGCTCCTCAGCCCACCCCATGGGTCTGATCAACCCCTCTTCTCATTCAGAGGGTCATCTTTCTAAGACCTTCTTGTTCTCCAACTCAGCTGTTTTGAGGCATGAGCAGAGCTCTGTTATTTTTTTTGTTTTGTGATGGAGTCTCACTCCGTTACCCAGGCTGGAGTGCAGTGGCATGATCTCGGCTCACTGCAAGCTCTACCTTTCTGGTTCAAGCCATTCTCTGGCCTCAGCCTCACAAGTAGCTGGGATTACAGATGTGCACCACAATGCCCAGCTAATTTTTGTATTTTTAGTAGTGATGGGTTTTCACCATGTTGGTCAGGCTGGTTTTGAACTCCTGACCTCAGGTGATCTGCCTGCCTCAGCTTACCGAAGTGCTGGGATTACAGGCATGATCCACTGCACCTGACCCAGAGCTCCGTTATTAACAATCTGCCTTGACAGACAAAGAAAGCTGGGGCCCAGAGTAAAGAAGGAGATGGAGGGAGAGCGTAGCTTTGTCTCTGCCTCCACCAGAGGGTCCCTGTTGGACTCCACTCCTGGGACACTAGTCCTATAGGCCTCCACAGATGCCTATCCCCCTCCTCCATCCAGCCTAGCTGCTCTGAGAGTGAGGGCCCGGCCCTGGCTTACCGCTCAGTCTCTGTCCTCTCCCAGTGCTCTACATCTGTGGAAACCTGAAGGACATGTATTCCCTCCTCAGCTTCCCCCACCTGCACAGCAGGGACCTTGGGCAGCTCAGCTGGGCTGAGAGGTTACTGCCTGAAGATGGGCAGCCCTGACCCTCCCCACAGCCTGGAGCCATGCTCTGTATCACAGCCCAGCCTTGAGAACACAAAAGACACCATGGCCCAGATTCCTGTTGCGGTCTTGCTGCCTCCCCTCCTCCAATCCCTTCCCTCCAGCCCCTCCCCACTTGCCAGTCTGCTGGGGGAGGGGCAGGCACCAGCCGCTTCCCTGTAATGTCTCTGGGCTGAGCCTCCTCTAGAAGGGCTGACTCCAAAGCCATTGTGCCTGACCCTAGTGCCCACTGCCCTTTTCCCAACCGAGACCCAGCTCTCAGAGCCTGCCCAGGTGGGAAATGTGAGGTGGCCCTGGGTTTGAATTGCCTAAGCTGGAGGGGGCTTGTGGCAAGACCACTCTTGCTGCTCAAGATGGATGGGGAAATGAACAGAGGCCCAGAACAGGGAGCCAGGTGAGACCCAACGGGACCCTTGCTGGAGGCAGACCAAGGAGGACTCAGCATGGCAGAGTGAAGTGAGCAAGGAAGAAGAGGGTCGGGGATGAGGAGGGTAGCTTGGTGTCTTCGGGTGGAAGAGGTGCATGCCTGCAGTGGGGAGGAGGAGAAGGTGGGGGGGAGGATTGGGAGGAGACTGGCTGGGACCTTTTGGTGGAGGTGCATGCCTGGAGTGGGAAGGAGGAATGGCGGAGGAGGGGGAGGTGGGGGAGGTGGGGGAGGAGGAGAGGAGGAGCCTGGGGTCTTTGGGTAGAGGCGGTGCAGGTCTGGAGTCGGAAGGAGGGGGAGCTGGGGGTGTTAGGGTATGGTGTTAGGGGTCAGGTACCTGTAGGACCTCAGGTCAGGTGGCTAGCAGTAGCTGATGGTGATCTAGCCTGGAGTGAACCCTGGCGGGAGACAGAGTGGGTGGCAGGACAGGCCTGGTTCCACTGGAGCCTTGGGAAGGGAGCAGATGTTCAGAGTCTGGGCAGTGTGGAGTGAGAAGGGGGTTCAAGGCCAAGGGGTGGTAGGAGGCAGGTTCTCCAGACTAGGGCCATTGCCAGAGCGGTAGGAGGAATAGCAGCGAGAGCAGGCTGGCAAGGCCAAGGCTGCAGAGGGCTCCGAAAGGAGGGGCGACCACCTTCCGCTTGAGTCTTGAGGCTTGGGTGATGCAGGTGAACCTGCTGCTAGAGATGGTCTGAATGGGACACAAAGCAAAAC